ATCTCGTCTTATTTTCTACAAGAAAACGAGCATAATGGATGCTCATGATGTGATGAATGAACAACTCCCACATTTGTTTCTTAAGGGCCTTTATGCATATCATTTCTTAACTCTCGGTTTGGTGCTTTCCGTTGGGTGTTTCCACGCGGAGAAGTTCCTGCTTCTCTAGCAGATTGCATCCACAGAACCTTTAACCTGGATCATTTCATTGCATGCTTGGTCGATAGAGAGCAATGCCTAGGAGTACATTTTGCATGATTGTCTAGCTGCTCTTCTCAGATTACAGTATTCGAATTCAGCCTCCAAGGTCTCACGTTAAAATCTGTACTCAGGCTACCAAACAATAGTTTTCACATTTTCTTAATCTGAGCAGCAGATTGTGGAGTTAAGTGAGGCAAGAAATCCTTTGATCAATAAATGGAGATGGAGTCATAATGAAAACACAATTTAAAAAATCTCTTAACAGGGAAGTAGTTATCTAAATTCTCAATAAACTTCAAGGCTCTTCTTTGTCTATGTTTGAAAATTGAAAATTGTGCAGATTTGGGTTGCAGGTGAAATATGTTCAACATACTAACAGGAATGACCGGGCGTCTCTAAGGGTCTCTGCCCCCAGTCCCTCCCCTTCCCCTGCCCCACATAGGGTTGGACAGTCTATTTTGTGTTTATATCTCCTTCTCTCACTTCATTTGTGTGTGTGTGTGTGTGTGTGTGTGTGTGTGTGTGTGTGCGTTTTCTTATCTTTTTTGAGTCGGGTCTCATTCCGCCACCTAGGCTAGAGTGTGGTGGCATGATCACGGGTCATCACAGCCTTGACCTCCTGAGCTCAAGCGATCCTCCCACCTAAGCCTCCCAAAGTGCTGGGACTGCAGGCATGAGCCACTGCACCTGGCCTCCTTCTCCCACTTTAAATGTGTACATCTACACCACACACAAACACACAGTAAGATGGCTATTGTAAACGCTTTTTATGCTTCCATTTGTGGTGGGCCAGAAGTATAAGACCAGGAAACCCTCCAGTAGGTGGAAGGTGCTAAAAGCTCAGGTGTGTGCACACAAGGACACAAGGAGAGAAGGTCGGATGCCTTGGCTCATGCTTGTAGTCCCAGCACTTTGGGAGGCAGAGGTGGGAGGACTGCCTCAGCTCAGGGGTTCAAGACCAGCCTGGCCAACATGGTGAGAGCTCGTCTCTACAATAAAACAAAAGATTAGCCAGGCATGGGTGTGCATGCCTGTAGTCCCAGCTACTTGGAAGGCTGAGGCGGAAGGCTCACCTGAGCCCAGCAGGTCGAGGCTGTGGTAGCCATGATCATGCACTCCAGCCTGGAGGACAGAGTGAGACTCCAACGCAAAAGAAGGGAGAGAAAACTGGGGAGAAACTGGGGGAAAGGATGATGGAACAATGAGAGCAAAACTGAATTACAGACTCAAGACAAAACTTCAGCTGGGATTGGCAAAACATTAGGAGAAATTCAGGCTGGATGGCCATAAAAGGCTAGCTTGGGAAGATCTTGGCGGGGGTTGGGAAGCCGAGAGCGCAGGAGTGAAGAGGCTTCTGTGCCTCCATGCAGGTGCTCAGGACGGCAGAGGGAGAGGGCCACTGGCCTTGATGGGACGGGATGGGATGGGACCGCAGCAGAAACAGTGTTGCGCGAGCAACAGATTGGTCTTCTGGGAAAGTGAAGCCCACGAGGGAGTGACAGCATCGTTCATGCCAGAGAACTTCAACAGGCTCAGAGAGAGCAAGCAGCTAGGGCAGATGGGCTCACGGAGTACCTTCCCAGGCAGGAAGTGACAACAAAAGGTCAGTGTGGTACAGACAGTGCTTCTAAGGAACAGAGAACAGCTCTTCTCATGTTCTGACGTTCAATGTCACATTTTTGTCCCCAAGTCGCTACACTGTGGAATTGACATCAAGGCTCTTGTTGGGAGGTGCTCTGGGACAGGCCCAGAGACAAAGACCGATTGGCCGCCCGCGGAACTGTGGGGTGCGGGGACAAGAGCGTGTGGAGGTGAGGGCAGAGGTCCGCCTGGACGTGGGGTGAGGAACAGGCTCAGAAAAACAGGAAGTCATTAACTTGAAAGGCTGACCGGGAAAGAAAGACCACGTGATGATCTCAAGAAGGGGTGGCGAGCTCACAGCGCCTGGAGACCCGCGGATCCCTCTGGAGAAGGTGCCCGAGTCAAAGCTGCCCGACAGGTGCTTGGCAAAGGACCGGCATGGTTTTAAAGGGCTGCTGGGAACAAGTCTCATGTAATGCAGCGTGGTGTCATGTAGCCTAAACTTCCTGGGAGTCGATGGCAATGCCGTGCAAAACAGATGCGACGTTAAGGAAAGTCCAGTGCTGGTTATTTCATTATGGAATGGTGCAGGATAGTGTCTCACACTTTAGATAAGCTAGAGACATATTTGCGATTTTTTTCTTTTTGAGTCAGGGTCCAGACTAGAGTGCAGTGGCACCATCATGGCTCGTGGCAGCCTCGACCTAAACTCAGGTGGTGCTCCCACCTCAGCCTCCCGAGTAGGTGCACAACACCATGCCTGGCTAATTTTTTGGTTTTTTTGTGAAGATGAGGTTTTGCTATGTTGCCCAGGCTGGTCTCAAACTCTTGGGCTCAAGCAATCCTCCCGCTTCAGCCTCCCAAAGTGCTGGAGTTACAGGCATGAGTCACCACACCCAGCCTGATTTTTGACATATCTGAATATTTCCTATACTATTATTTACTTAATATTTTTAAGTCACTTTTTAGACTTAAATATATTTATTTTAGAAGCAAACTTTAAGTCATTTCCATAAGAGGAAAATCAATATCACTTTCCTAAAATGAAAGATGACTGTGAAAACTGATAAATAATAAGTGACTATTTTAAATAGATATAAATATTTTCAAGTTTCTTCTAGAGTTTTGTGGAAGAAACTTTCCAAGTTTCTTCCTCTCATCTACCAGTGATCATAGGGCATAGATACTATTTGTACATCTTAAACATTAGAAGCTCATTGGGGCCAGGTACAGTGGCTCAAGCCTATAATCCTAGCACTTTGGGAGGCTGAGGAGAGAGTATTGTCTGAGCCCGTGGGTTTGAGACCAGCCTGGGCAATTTGGTGAGACCTCGTCTCTACAACAAATAAAAAATTAGCCGGGCATGGTAGTGCACGCCTGTAGTTCTGGCTACTTGGAAGGCTGAGACGGAAGGATCGCCAGAGTCCAGCGGGTCGACACTGGGGTGGCCATGAGTGTGCCACTGGACTCCAGCCTGGGTGACAGAGTGAGACTCCAACTAAAAAAAATTAAATTAAATTAAAATAAAATAAAGAAACTCTTTGGGAAATATTGGTTTTAGGGATTCCAGCATGCAGCCAGGTGTTTCATACACCTGGTTAGCAAACTATTAGAGAGTTTTAAAATTGATGTAAGGGATCACAAACCGCATTGAACAAAAAAACAAATATGGTACACTACATAGAGTGTATAGGCATGTGTTGTTTTGCAAAATTTTTACTTTTTGTTGTTGTTGTTGTTATTGAAATCTCACTATGCTGTCCAGGCTGGAGTGCAGTGGCACAATCATGGCTCCTGCAGCCTCGACCTGCTGGGTTCAGGTGCTCCTTCTGCCTCAGCCTTCCAAGCGAGTGGAACCACAGGTGTGCTCCACTGTGTCCAGTTAATTTTTTTTTAATTGATTGTAGAGACGAGGTCACGCCATGTTGCCCAGGCTGGTCTCAAGCATAGGGCTCAGGCAGTCCTCTCACCTTGGCCTCCCAAAGTGCTGGGATGACAGGTGTGAGCCACCAAACCCGACTACTTCTTCATTTACCTACGTATTTTATGTGGTGGTAATGTAAAAGGTATTTCTGTGGCCCCTGCTGTGGCCCATGGCCGAAATATTTAAAAATCACTGCTATAACCTTTGTTCATGCCTCGTGCCCCTGTGTATGTGTAGCCCTGAACAGCAGACACCCTCTGGGGCAAGAGATGGGCTTCCTTCCGTCACCCCTTCTAAGTTTCTTCCATGGCTGTACCCTCCAGGAGGGGGGAAGCTTGCCGAGGGAGACCAGGAACACTCGGACCATCTTCCCAAAGGAGCTCACCTTCCCCATCTCGTGCGGTGATAGCTTCTAAAGGGCAGGGACTAGCTGAGGTGACCCTGCCAGGTCCCACTCTGTCCTTAGGAATCTAGGAACTGTGGGTGAGAAATGGAAGAGAAGGGGGGAGGGTGCAGAAGGGCAGGCAGCCCTCAAGTGGAGCCCCGCTACTCCGGAACTGGAGTGCTCTTGGGGATAATACATTTGACCTCGCGCCTTCATGATGCTCGTCCCAGAATGCAATGCACCTGTTGTGACCCATAAGGCCCTTCTCTGTTGGGCTCTGAGTGGCCTCTGCAGGGTCCTTCTCTATCACCACGTCAAGCTTTGAAACACCAAAGTAGCAGGGTGCGGTGGCTCATGCCTGTCATCCCAGTACTTTGGGAGGCTGAAGCCAGAGGATTGCCTGAGCCCAGGGGTTCAAGACCAGCCTGGGCAACTTGGTGAGACCTCATCGCTACAATAAATCAAAAAATCAGGCAGGCGTAGTGGTACACGTCTGTGGTTCCAGCTACTTGGAAGGCTGAGGTGGAAAGATCACCTGAATACAGTAGATCGAGGCTGCAGTGACTGTGAGCATGCCACAGCACTCCAGCCTCGGTGACAGCGTGAGACTCTGACTCAAACAAAAAAATCCCACCAAAATACTCAACCCTCCGTGCCAGACATTGTCAGCTGGCCTCCTGAAGACGTGTGTCTTCCAGCCTCCAAAGTTTTTTTTTTTACTTTATTAAAATGCTGAGTTTATTTCACATGTATATTTTTGTCTACCCGCCATTTCCATGTCTGACCACCACTACTACTATGCACTATCTTAACATTCCATACATAAAACCAAGCAAAGGGTGGAGTTACATCTTTAAAAACCAAACAGGCATTTTGGACAACACATTCTTGGCAATGGAACCTGGACACCATTTATCAAACACGGTAGAGAAAGTTCTCAGTCTGCATTATAAAAGGACAGCCAGATATTAACTGTTACAGAAATGAAATAAGACGGGAAACTTTTAACAACCTGTTTAAACTATTTTCTTAAAGAGATTTCCTCTGCTGCCAGAGATCTTGAACAGCCTCCTGGGCAGTCATCCGAAAGCAATTCTTCACGTAATTGATGAACTTGGCTTCCACCTTGGGAAGAGAACCACCTTTTTCTATACTCGCGTGCATTTTTGCCTTCATGTCTTCAACAGAGCTAGGTTCTTTGGGTGTTTTAGGAGTTTTTCCCTGTTTTTTGATTCTTGACCTTTTGATCTTGGTGTTGATGGTCTTGAGTCTTTTCCGTTCTGGTTTGATGTTTGTGCATTTTAGCTGGAGTATCCCGTACAGATTTCTTCACTGGAGCTTTTCCTTCGGTTTCCTCGTCATCAAAATCATCATCATCTTCAGCAGCAGCAAGCTTTACTTTTTTCTGAGGAACCTTGCTGCCACCTCCAGGAGCAGACCTCTTTCCGGATATACTTCAGCATTTTCCATCCTCACCTTCATCTTCTGACTCTGCATCTTCCTCCACAGCTATAAAGTGCTGTCCCACTCATATGCGCAGGCCCTGAACCACACTTCCACCACAAGATCACGGGCGGTGTTATTTCAGAGCCCCCGAGGGAAACCGTTGGCTGCACAGACAGTTTCAAAGTTGTCAGTGTTACTTCTGTTGGGCTGCTTTCCTCATTCATTGCCTCTGCTTCAACAATGTGCAATTCATCCTTTGCAGCAGCCTCTCAACTGACCATTCTTCAAGATAGCCGGTGCTTTTTCATCATGACCCACCTTAAAGTGACCATCTTTGTCGGCCTTTAGTTCACGACCGAAAAGATAGTCCTGGGGCGTCAGGGGGCTCATGTCCGTGTCCATCGAATCTTCCATGGGGTGGTGGCACGCACTTAGGTGGGAGAGAAGGCGGACGGAGGTAGACAACTACTGCTCCAAAGAACAGCCATGCAGGACAGAACCACACCAGGGCCAAGAGTTTTTAAAAATCAAAAGCTGTAGCCCGGGCATGGTGGTTCACGCCTGCAGTCTCAGCACTTTGGGAGGCTGAAGTGGGAGAATCACTTGGGCCCAGGAATTGGAGACCAGCCTAGGCAGCACAGCGGGACCTCATCTCTACGAGAATTAGTCAGGCGTGGTGTCTCACCCTTGTAGTCCCAGCTACTCAGAAGGCTGAGATGGAAGGATCGCCTGAACCCAGGAGGTTGAGGCTGCGGTGGTCGTGATCGTGCCACTGCACTCCAGCCTGGGCGACAGTCTCTAAAAAACAAACAGACAAAAAATCCCCCCAAACCAGGAGATTTCTCACCAAATTAGATTTGTTATTTCTGGCTTCAAGAGGTACAGAGAGGGATGTCACATTTATGCCTGCAGGTAGACCATCTAAGCAAGCAAATCAGGTCCATTTTCCTAACTTTTACAGGCTTGAGAACAGAAATACTTCTTAGCAACGAGGACAATGGCAAACACATGCTGAACCTTACTGTGGGTCATTTCATGACATGAACTCTCAGTCTTCACCACATTCCTACAAGTTAGGAAACGGTGGCATTTGTCCAGGGTCTGCACAAGTATGGTAATAACTGCCCCAGCGCTGAGCCTCATGGGGGAAGAGGGGGGTGACCAGAGGTGCATTTCCCACAGAGTGGGGTGATCTCTCGGGGCTATAGTTTCCATGTGGGAATGCCAGACCAGTGTGGACCTCTCTCCTCTTGGCCTCAGACCCCCAAGAGTGGCGGAGTGACACAGGACAGACCAGCAGTCAAAGTATGCGGTCTCTTGCTGCTTGGACAGATGCCCAAACATTTGTGTATGCTATAGAACTATGAGATCATGTTCTCTCTAAGCAAATGTTTCTTGGAGCCAAATGGGAGGAAGTATGGGTGTTTTGGGGGCCGACAGGCGTGTCCCAGGGAGCAGGGAAAACTCTCGCTTGGGGTTCTTATAAAGAAATTGCCAGACTTCACCTATGATCCACACCCACGGGAATATTAAGGGACCAGCAGCCGAAAGCGATACAAAATATAAAAAGCACTTGTCCCTTGACCTTGCAATTCCCCTTCGAATGTGTCTTTTTGATTAGAAAAACAATTTTTTTTTGTAGAGACAAGGTCTTGCTATGTTGCCCAGGCTGGTCTTGAGCTCCTGGGTTCAAGCAGCTCACAACTTGGCCTCCCAAAGTGCGGGGATTGCAGGCGTGAGCCACCGTGCTGACCTTGAATGTCTCTTAGAGACACGCTTCTATGTTCACCAAGGTAGCTGTGCCAAGGTATTAATTGCAGCACTAAAGGCAGAAAGAGATTGCAAGGGAACTAACTAGTCCAACGACAGACTAGTTAAATACATATGCATCCACATGGCAGAATATGAGGCTTAAGTTAGGAAGTCTGAGTTAGATACTCAGGATGTGTTGTGGTTAAATGTGTGCGCCCCAGGCTCTACTGCCTAGGTTCAAATCTCAGCCCTGACACTCAGCAGAGCTGTGACCTTGGGCAAGTTACCTAGCCTCTCTGCGCTGCTGTGCTCATATGTAAAAGAGACTGATAGCCAGGCGTGGTGGCTCACACCTATGATCCCAGCACTTTGAGAGGCAGAGGCGAGAGCATTGCCTGAGCCCACGGGTTCAAGACCAGCCTGGGCAACTTGGCGAGACCTCATCTCTGCAATAAATACAAAAATTAGCCAGGCGTGGTGGTGCCCGCCTGTAGCCCCAGTTACTTGGAAGGCTGAGATGGAAGGACTGTCTGAACCCAGCAGGCTAAGGCTGCAGTGGCTATGAGTGTGCCACTACACTCCACCCTGGGTAACAGAGTGAGACTCCAACTAAAAAAAAAAATAAGAGAGAGAATGGTAATTCAGGTAGTAAACACCTCTTCATTTTTGTGACTTTTAAATGAGTCAACACCAGCAAAATGCTTCGGACAGCGCCTGGTACGTGCAATAAGTGTTAGGTTGTGCTGTTGCTACTTGTCATGTCAACTCGTGTGGAATGAACCCTAGGAGACATCAAGTGACACAACTAAGTTGCAGAACAGCGTATGCCACTGTGATGCATATATCATGCTATTGCTCCTACAGGTAAAAGTGGTTATTTGCATGAATATGCCGAGACTACCTCAGGAAAGATGTTCTTCTTCCTAAGCGACTTCCCAACTGCAGCCTAGCATTCTACAGTGTGCGTGCGCGTCTGTGTAGTCCGCTTTGCTGAACTAGTTAGTTCCCTTTCAGTCTCTTGGTACTTAGAATGCTGCAATGATGCTGGACTCGGTGGCTCAGCCTGGAATCCCATGCTTCGGGAGGCCGAGGTGAGTGAGTTGCCTGAGCCCGCGGGTTCGAGACCCGCCTGGGCAACATGGCGAGACCGCATCTCTACAATAAATCAAAAATTAGCCAGGCGTGGTAGCGCATGCCTGTAGTTCCAGCTACTTGGAAGGCCGAGGCGGAAGGATCGCCAGAGCCCAGCAGGTCGAGGCTGCGAGGGGCCACTGCACTCCAGTCTGGGCGACTGAGTGAGACTCCAACTCAAAAAAAAAAAAAAAAGAATGCTGCAACGAATAATACTTTTACATATTTGTGTACACAGACGTATATCTCTAAGATACATTCAAAGGGGGAATCACTGGGCCAAGGGGCATGTGCACTTTATAGTTTTGATAGCTATCAACCATTGGTCCTTTGATTTATTTCTTTATTTTTGTAGAGATGGAGTCTCACTTTGTTGCCCAGGCTGTTGTCGATGTCCTGGCCTCAAGTGAGCCTCCTGCCTCAGCCTTCCAAAGCACTGGGATTACAGGTGTGAGCCACTGTGCCTGCACTTTATTTTTATTTTTTGAGTCTTACTCTTGTTGCCCAGTGCAGTGCGGTTGCCCAGAGGAGTGCAGTGGCACGCTCACAGCCACCGCAGCCTCAACCTACTGGGCTTAGGCGATCCTTCTGTCTCAGCCTTCTAAGTAGCCAGAGCTACAAACGCACACCACCTTGCTTGGCTAGTTTTTTGTGATTTTTATTGTAAAGACAAAGTCTCACCAAGATGTCCAGGCTGGTCTCAAACCCCCGGGATCAGGCAATCCTCTTGCCTCAGCCTCCCAAAGTGCTGGGATTACAGGCTGGGCCACCGTGCCTGGCCATATTTTTATTTTTATTTTAGAGACAGAGTTGTGTCTTGTCTCCCAGGCTGGAGAGCAGGGATGTGATTATGGCTCACTCAAGTCTTGAACTCCTGGGCTCAAGCTATCATCCCACCTCAGTGTCCTGAGTAACTGGGACTACAGGTATAAGCCACTGCTCACGGCCCCATCAGTCCTTTTAAATGTTCAGCTTCCTCACAGGTAAAGAAGCTCATGACAGCTGTTGTCTCTGGAGAAGTTTCCCTTTTTTTTTTTTTGAATTGGAGTCTCACTGTCGCTGGAGTGCAGTGGCATACTCATGGCCACTACAGCCTCAAACTCCTGGGCTCAGGAGATCCTTCCATCTTGGCCTTCCAAGTAGCTGGAACTACAGTCACACGCCACCATGCCTGGCTCATTTTTTGACTTATTGTAGAGATGAGGTCTCGCCAAGTTGCCCAGGCCGTTCTCAAACTCGTGGGCTCAGGCAATCCTCTCGCCTTGGCTTCCCAAAGTGCTGGGATTATAGGCGTGAGCCACTGTACCCAGCCTTTCCTCCCATTTGTAAAATTGATGTTTAACCATGTGTGTATCTAATTTTTCCAAAGAAATACATGTCTATGTCTATTTATGTTTATGTGTATCATAAGAAAAAGGACCAGTGGTTTTACATGAAAAGCTGTGCCAAGTGTTATATTTTGTGAGAAAACCTCACCGGGTGGTCTGCGCCATCTCTGTTGGCCTCAGGTCTCAGCTCCGTCTCAGGCCGTCTCCACTGCCTCCCCACTCCTCCCTGTGGGCTCTGTGGCAGCCAGTTTGTTGCCTGATAGGGTCTTTGGTAGCAGAAACGTTTGTTGCTGGGTACTCAGACTCAGTGTATCTGAAACAGGAGTCTGTCTCCATCCCCAAACCCTCCACTGATGCTTTCCCCTGTGTCTTTTCTTTTCTTTTTTTAGATTAGAAAATACAGTTTGCTTAGAAAGTAAATTAGAGAGAGAGAAAGAGGAGCTGCACCTCCCCAAGGTAGGGGAGGGAGCCAAAGTTAGGAAACATGACCTGGCCATAGCTCAAAGAGCACATGGCCACACCAGAGCTTAGCAAGACAATGGCCTCCCCTGTGTCTTTTCTTATCTCAGGGAGTGATTTCACCACCCCACGCCACTCACCCCCACCACCCGACCCTGTCACCCACTGGGAGTTAGTGGGACTCCCTCTGCCACCCTCGGTCCCCACATGTTACCAGTCCCCAAGTCTCACGGACTTTGCAACCCACATGGCACTTGTATCCTTTCTTTTCTCTTACACACACACCCCTACTTGATTCTTTCCAGATATGGGAAAGGTATAGACAAATGCAAAGAATAATATTACAACCACAGATTCGCCACTCTGAGCTCACAGCCGTGAGTCTTTTATCGTTACTTCTCGTCTGGTCTTTCTTTTTGGAGTCGGCATCTCACTCTGTTGCCTGGACTGGAGTGTAGTGGCACGATCGCAGCTCACCACAGCCTTGCCCTCCTGGGCTTGAGTGATCCTCTCGCCTCGGCCTCCTGAAGTGCTAGGATGTCAGGCATGAGCCACCGCAGCCGGTCATCTTTTTTATGATAATACATGCAGGTCCTTTTCCCACTGTCCCCTCCAATTTAATTCTCCTCTCTATTGTGGTTTTTAAGCCCACCAAACATTTTTTACATACCTACATATTTAGTCATCAAGCACGTATAGGATTACTTTGTATGTTTATAAAAACATACATTTTACTTATTTATGTACTTATGTACATTTTACTTATGTTTGCAGTGGACATCCCACATTTTGTTTGTCCATCACGAATAATACTGCCATGGAA